TACACACCACTACTCCCAGCTAGTTTTTAAAAAATTACTTTTTTTTTTTTTTTGAGAGGGAGTCTCGCTCTGTCGCCCAGGCGGGAGTGCAGGGTGTGATCTTAGCTCACCGCAAGTTCCACCTTCCAGGTTCACACCATTCTCCTGCCTCAGCCTCCCGAGTAGCTGGGACTACAGGCGCCCACCACCATGCCTGGCTAATTTTTTTTGTATTTTTTAGTAGAGACGAGGTTTCACCATGTTAGCCAGGATGGTCTTGATCTCCTGACCTTGTGATCCACCCGCCTAGGCCTCCCAAAGTGCAGGGATTACAGGTGTGAGTCACCGTGCCCGGCCAAATTATTTTAAACTACAAAGACAAGAACCGAGGTCTCACAATAGCCATCAACAAAAGATTCTTGCATTAGTCATGAGGAAAGTAAAAATATTAACTTAAGAATTTTATACATTAAGAATGCATATTAAAATTTCAAGATCAACTACTGAAAGAATAAAAATAGAGCACCTAATTTCCAAACCAGCACAGAGAGAAATGTGGGAAGAGAGAAAAAATCTATAATTAATCCAAAGTGAAGTGAGAAATGGAAAAAGGTGTGGAAAAACAAAGACAAACAGGATAAAACTAATAAAATATCTATCAGTAGGGCTAAATTTTCCTGTCATGAGGCAAAGATTGCAAGGCTAGATTTAAAAGATCAAGCCATATGGAGATCTTAAAACTTGAGCACAAAGTTTGAAAGTAAGAGAATAGAGAAGTGAAAGCTGTTGAAGCTTTGTAACTATCACATGAAATCAACTGCCAAACTAAAAGTTTTACTATAGTTAAAAGAATGTCGTTACATAATTCTGAAACATTCATATTCACCAGAAAGGTACCAATATTTTAAATTTGCAGAAGAAAAAAATCTCTAATATACCTAAAATTATAGAATAGCAAAGAGTAATACACAAATTCACCATCATAGTGGGAGAGTGTTATATGCCTCTCTTACTAATTGATAGACCAGAGAGACAAAAAATAAATTATTACAGGTTAAGAGGTTTTTCCTCTCCTGACACAAAATAGGTGGTGCCTTCTCTAGCACCAACTGAACGTCCAACAATTCAGTTTGATTCTCTTACTGCCTGCCAGAGTGAGCATCAGACCACAGGTTTAAGGGTAAGTCCCACAAGTCTGCCTTCACTTAAGACAACAGTTGCAAAAATAACCTGGGTGGGTACCCAGGTTACCCACACTTCTGTCTGACTTTGCTATAAAGTCAGGTATTCCCCAAAGCCAGCCTCTCTCCCAGATTTAATAATTTGCTAGAATGATTCACAAAACTCAGGAAAATGCTATACTTACCATTACCATTAATGATAAGGGATACAAATGAACAGACAGATTCAGACAGGGCAAGATCCAGAAGAGTCCCAAGCACAAAAGCCCTTGTCTCTGTGGAGGCTGGGCACAGCACTTACTAGGCACATAGATACATGAGCTAACTCAAAAGCTGCCCACTCAGTCATTTTGGAGTTTTTATTGAGGTTTCATTATACAGGCATAATTGTGTCCATTGGCGATTAACTCGATCTCCAGCCCCTTTCCCCTTCCCAGAGGTTGAAGGGTGGGTCAGAACTTCCAAGCTTCTAATCAAGGCTTGATCTTTCTGGTGACCAGCCCCTATCCTAAAGCTATCTAGGGGCTTGCCAAGAGTCACCTCAGAACAAAATATGCTGCTGTCACCCTTATCACTGAGGAAATTCCAAGGGTTTTAGGAGCTCTCTGCCAGGAACCTGGGAAAAAAACCAAACTTTTTCTTAATCTACCATAAGGATATAGATTATTTATGCTTCAATTTGAATGCTGGTGGCAATGAAAAATGACATGTCTGGGAATAATTAACACAATGTGAAAGGTATTCATAGAGAAAGTTATAAAATTGTACTAAAAATATTAAAAAAAAGCCTTATGTAAATGAAGAGGTATACCAGGTTCGGGTTAGTCTCATGATTACTAAATATGGAGATTCAATTCCCCCCAAAATGCTCTATAGAATTAATTCAATTCTAACAAAAATCTCAAAGAGGTTTTTAATAGGAAAAAAAGCTGATTTTAAAAATGTACGTGCTGGTCATGTACAGGAACAGTGGCTCATGCCTGTAATCCCAGCATTTCGGGAGGCTGAGGCAGATCACTTGAGGTCACGAGTTCAAGACCAGCCTGGCCAACATAGCAAAATCCGGTCTCTACTAAAAATACAAAAATTTGATGGGCATGGTGACGTGCACCCGTAGTCCCAGCTACTTGGGAGGCTGAGTCATGAGAATCACTTGAATCACGCAGGTGGAGGTTGCAGTGAGCCGAGCTCATGCCACTGCACTCCAGCCTGGGTGATAGAGTGAGACTTTGTCTCAAAAAAATAAATAATGAAAAGTATACACAAAGACAAAGGGCCAAGAATAGTCAAGGTGCCTGTCTTTGTTTTTTGCTGCTATAAAAGAATATGTGAGACTGGGCAATTTATAGAGAAAATAAATTTATTTGGCCCCTGGTTCTGGAGGCTGCAAAGTCCAAGATTGGGGGGCTGCATCTGGTGAAGGCCTTCTTGCTGCATCCTCAGAGGATTGAGGGGCTCAGTGGAGGCAGAGTACATGGAAACAGGTATGTATGATTTGTAGGGCATGGGCTGGCTGGACAGTCAGGCAAAGGGTAGTCCATGGCAATTAAGGACCTTGGACTTTATCCAGAGAAAATAGAAGATTTTTAGGCAGCAGGCATGGCCACTGTCATGGTCAGTTTTTGTTTAGAAAGATCACTCTAGCAGCAGGTGGTTCAGGAAAGACAGGAAGGACTGAGACTGGAAGCACAGAGATGAGTGATGAATTCGTTGCAGTTGTTCATGCTGTGGGATGATGTGTGTGGGAGCGTGGGAGTGGGGGTGGCAGTGGAGATTATTTAGGAAATAACTGGATGGGACCTGTTGCCTAGGGAAGAGGAAAGAATCTGGTGTGAGGCCTCTGTTCAGGGAGATGTCTGGGCTGAGGTTTTCTGGAAGAAGCAGTTCTAGACCAGTCAACTGAGACAGAGAAAGGCCCTTTTGGAGCTGGAGTGCACTCCCTACTCAAACCTCCAGTCTCCTGGGACCAAAATGCACACCAAACTGTGGTGGTTTTAAAATGTCTAAAAAGTCTTCCTCCCTTCAAAAGGTGAAGCAACTTCATGAGAGGCTATGATCTAGAACCACCCAGCTACACTGTTGCTAGATTCCTGACCCTCAGAATAGTATGAGATAATATGTGTTGTTTTCAATCCGCTGATTTTTTTTTTTTGAGACGGAGTCTCGCTCTGTTGCCCAGGGTAGAGTGCAGTGACTTGATCTCAGCTCACTGCAAGTTCCACCTCCCGGGTTCACGCCATTCCTGCCTTAGCCTCCAGAGTAGCCAGGACTACAGGTGCACGCTGCCACGCCCGGCTAATTTTTTTGTTTTTTTTTTTAGTAGAGACGGGGTTTCACCGTGTTAGCCAGGATGGTCTCTATCCCCTGACCTCGTGATCCGCCCACCTCGGCCTCCCAAAGTGCTGAGATTACAGGCGTGAGCCACCGCGCCCGGCCAATCTGCTGAATTTTGGGGGTAATCTGCCACACTGCAGTAAATAACTACCAGCGATGACCAAACTTTTACCCTTCCAGACCTTGCAGACCAGGCAGCTAACATTTCCCATCCCACGGTCTCAGGAAACACCACTTTCCACTCCTGTGTCCTCGACAGGAATCATCAGACAAGTCGAACTCTCACCTTCTCAAGCAACACAACCCACCCTCCTGGCCTACCCCGCTCCTGAAGCCTCACTCAGTCTCACCTCAGCCCCTACGGAGTTCCTCTCAGTTGTCAGGCCTCCATCGGCGGGGGTCGAGTGTTGTGTGTGACTCCAGGTCTCCAGCAAGGTATAGTGGGAGGGAAGCATCCGGGAGAAGAGAGGTGGTGGGATTGGGCTCTCCCTCTCCCCCATACCGCCACCCTCCCTCACGCCCATATCCTGTCCAAGGCTCTTCCCGCGTCTGCTTTTGAAATCCCTCCACATCCCTCCACCCCATGTGCCCTACTCGTTGCACAGGAGCAGAGAGATCCGCAGAACACACGTCTACGATTATGCCACTCTTCAGATTTACATCTTGCAGCAACTTCCCACTGCCTTAGAACGGAAGTAAACCTCCATGACGGGGGCCCTCCCAACTCACAGACCTCACCGGAGCCCCCACGTCCCGCGTCGCCGGCCTCTCAACCGACCATGCCCTGATCCTCTCGGAGCGAGCGCCGCGGGCTGCGCCGGGTCCCAGGCCT